CACCCCCCACCTCCTACTTTAATCCTACACGACTGACAACGGCCCCCGGACCGGGATGAAGAGGCCGCTGAACAGCGCTGGCTGCCGTGCAGACAGCGGCGGGGACAATCCGGGGCTGCTTGGACGGAAACTTGCCACAAAGCGCCTTTTCAGGCAGCTCCAAGGCATGAAACAGCTGGGACACTTCGGCACAGAATGGCGTCCGAAAAGGTCAGCGAACAAAGATCAGCCAGGTCCCCGCGGGGGGGGGGGGGGAACACAGGTCTTCCCCAGGCGCCTTGTCCTGAAAGGGAGACCCAGGACGATGACACGGCCCTTAAAGTTACACGGGGCAAATTCAATAACGCTCCCGCAGTGAGTGTTGTCAAATAAGCGCCTCCGTGAATGGGGCGCCCCTTGCAGCTGCGGGCTCACGGGACGCCTCGCATCGACCCAGCGCCGAACGCGACTCGCCCCCACAGCCGCGTCTGGCTGGACACGCTCTCAGCGTCACCGGTAAGCAACCGTATCGATGTTTCTTCACAGGGAGCAGAAAATTCATGCTGCTCTTTAGAAGAAGACGACACTCATAGAAATTGTCTTACAAAAGCTTCTGGCAGTCAATTTCGCTAAGCCTACGTCTTAATAATAACTACTCAATAAAAGGTATTTCTAGGCAAAGCCTCCTATACATATATTTTATGTTATTCCTTCTTTTTGCCCTACTTGATTTTTTTCTATTTTTTCTATTCTTGATTTTATTTTCCAACCAATGGTCTTTTATCAAGTTTGCTTATTTATCTCTTGGTGATGTGCTGCGCCTTGGCCATGCACATTACTGGCAGCCGGCTACAATTTGTCAGCAAGGTACAGGAAATGACTGGGAATGTGGCATAACGCATATAAACTCTGACATCCCCCCCCCACCCCCTTTACCTCTAATGCTGGGGAGACGCTGCTGAAATAAAAGGAGGAGCAGCAAAAGGAAGCAGCTAACAATGGCAAATTGTTTGAGGGGAAGTGATTAGCCCAGGTCACACTCCATTGGGGCAAAGCTACTTAAAACAGAAATTGTTCATTCATCAGCAATAGCGTAGGAACAACGGGCTGATTATGAGCGAGCTAAAACAACGCCAAGATGTCATGGGTCTTTAAGACAAAAGAAGCAGAAATTTGGTCTAAGCCGTGTTTATTTATTAGTGTTCCGCTCGAACGTTTGTCGGCAGTGTGTGTTCAGCACGTCACTGGCAGCGAAACTGTCGGCGATGCTAAATGCTCACCGCCAGCCTTGTGGTGGTGATGGTGCGGGGGGGGGGGGGGGGGGGGGGGGGGGGGGGGGGGGGGGGTACAGTGGGATGACATCACTTCTTTCTCCACTTCCATGCTCACTGCATTGTCCCCTGTGGGAGGGGCCTGCTGCTCTCGCCGCGACACAGAGCGAAGAGTGACACCTGTTGGCCTGAAGACACTTTTTCTGGAATCAGACAAGTTCAGGTCCCCCCCTTTGTTAGAACATTAAACAAGATGCTTAATTATGGTTCCAGTGAAACTGGGGGAGACACACTCAGAGGGTGACAACACATGAACATTTATATGCACAAGAAGTTTCCCCTCAAAATATACAATGACGTAGATGTAGCGACTACATGACGTCCATGTTTTTTCTAAGGAATTAAAGAACATGGTTATGCAGGTGTTCAGACTAATAGCTAATAGTGGGTATTATAAATGATTTATACAGTGCATAAGGATGGCTTTGTAGCTTTTATCAAGTCAAGTTAAAGTCAGAGATTTCACTTTTGTAATTATCATGTGATCAAACGGTAATAGTTGGTTGAGGGTGAGATGGCCTGGTGGCTCAGCATCCTCACCGCAAACCTCCAGCAAATAGTGGGAACAAATCCTGCATAATCTGCATGTTCTCCCTATGTCTGTGTGGGCAAATATATAGTCAGACGATCTTGCTTCTCTAAAGAGTGTACCCTGTAATCCCCTGCTATCCTGTCCAGGGTGTCCCCTGCCTTGTGCCCTGTGATGGACTGGCATCCCGTCCACGGTGTCCTCTGCCTCGTGCCCTATGATGGACTGGCATCGCATCCAGTGTGTCCCCCTGTCTCGTGCCCTGTGATGTACTGGCATCCCGTACAGGTTGTCCCCCTGTCTCGTGCCCTGTGATGGACTGGCATCGCATCCAGTGTGTCCCCCTGTCTCGTGCCCTGTGATGTACTGGCATCCCGTCCAGGTTGTCCCCCTGTCTCGTGCCCAGTGATGGACTGGCATCCCGTCCAGGGTGTCCCCCTGTCTCATGCCCAGTGATGGACTGGCATCCCGTCCAGGGTGTCCCCCTGCCTCGTGCCCTGTGATGTACTGGCATCCCGTCCAGGGTGCCCCCTGCCTCGTGCCCTGGGATGGACTGGCATCCCATCCAGTGTGTCCCCCTGCCTCGAACCCTGTGATGGACTGGCATCCCGTCCAGGGTGTCCCCTGCCTCGTGCCCTGTGATGGACTGGCATCCCGTCCAGGGTGTCCCCCTGTCTTAAGCCCTGTGATATACTGGCATCCCATCCAGGGTGTCCCCTGCCTCGTGCCCTGTGATGGACTGGCATCCCGTCCAGGGTGTCCCCCTGTCTTAAGCCCTGTGATATACTGGCATCCCATCCAGGGTGTCCCTCTGCCTCGTGCCCTGTGATGGACTGGCATCGCATCCAGGGTGCCCCCTGCCTCGTGCCCTGTGATGTACTGGCATCCCGTCCAGGGTGCCCCCTGCCTCGTGCCCTGTGATGGACTGGCATCGCATCCAGTGTGTCCCCCTGTCTCGTGCCCTGTGATGGACTGGCATCCCGTCCAGGGTGTCCCCCTGTCTCGTGCCCTGTGATGGACTGGTATCCCGTCCAGGGTGCCCCCTGCCTCGTGCCCTGTGATGGACTGGTATCCCGTCCAGGGTGTCCCCCTGTCTCATGCCCAGTGATGGACTGGCATCCCGTCCAGGGTGTCCCCCCTGCCTCGTGCCCTGTGATGGACTGACATCCCGTCCAGGGTGTCCCCCTGTCTCATGCCCAGTGATGGACTGGCATCCCATCCAGGGTGTCCCCCTGCCTCGTGCCCTGTGATGGACTGGCATCCCGTCCAGGGTGTCCCCCTGTCATATGCCCTGTGATGGACTGGCATCCCGTCCAGGGTGTCCCCCTGTCTTATGCCCTGTGATGGACTGCCATCCCGTCCAGGGTGTCCCCTGCCTCGTGCCCTGTGATGGACTGGCATCCCGTCCAGGGTGTCCCCCTGCCTCATAGCCTGTGCTTCCTGGGAGAGGCAACAGGCCCCCCGTGCCTCTGTACTGAATAAGTGATCATGAATTAGGAAGGATTCTAGTGCACAGATTTTTAAAAATAAAAATAATGTAAAAATGAGACTTGTGAACCAGAAAATATGAATGAAAATAGCTTAAATAATAAACAGTGGTTTGGGCAATAAATAAATTAATACATTATTTTGATAATTACATCACGCTGGGATTATTGCACACCAGGAGATTTGAAGTATAGTGTTCACAGGTAGGGCTTAAAGAGGTCTTGAATTCTCTTCAACTTTTGTTTTTTATACCTTAAATAAGCAGCTCCAAGCACACCGTCTGGATCCCACACTGCCATCTGCCATCAGAGTTTACAGCCAGGTGTTTGTCCCAGTCAGCGGGTCTCTGGGTAAAAAACAGCAGCCAGCTGTGTTCCGAGCAGCTCGATCTCTGAGAGCAAACACGCCGCCTCAAAGGATGCACCAGGGGAGGCTGGTGAACGCTGCAGCTGAGCACTCACCCATCGCCATGCCGACTTGGTGATTCATCGCCGGCGTGCGGCAGCATTTTCGCAGATCGATGACAGGAAAAAAAGCACTTTTTTTCTAGAAAGTCAAAACTGTCGCCGTAACGAAAAGCAAATCGGGGAGGGAAAGGTAAGTGGGGGCCGCGAGTGAGACTCAGGTGAAGCTGATATGATGCTCTCCCAGCACTGCCAGGCAGAAAGGATCAACCCAGCCAAAGAAATCTAATCTACACTGACCCTGCATGTTTCAACACAGTGTCTGATGCTAGTCACTGTGGTGGGGGGTGAGGAAGGGTGACGTGTTGGGCAACCCTGTGGACCCCAAAGCAGAATAAACCACCAAACAGGAAAATAATCCGAAAGCTGAACTGATATGACTATAGCACTCCAGTGCAGCCATTCTGCCTATGATACAGTCATGCATCCCTCTAACTGGGATGGGAGAAAGACAGCACATGGGGGGGGGGGGTTCATGTGCTACACTCCCCTGAAGAAAAGAAGCAGAACATTTAGGGTGGCTCTGTGGGTTAGGACTTCGTGCTCAGAAGGTTGCTGGTTTAAATCCCATGAGCTCCAGAATATACAGTCGCTCTTTGCACAATGAAGTTCCCATTTAATTCAAATGATATATTTTATTCAAGAATATTTACATTTACATACAAGTTAAATGGCTAGTACAGAAGCATCGTTCACGGAAAACTTTTGCAATTTAAGGAACAAACTCACTTAGTTCTGAAGTTGACATGTGAGACAGTTGAAATACAACTTGAATCAAAGTATACAAAGTGGTTTGGGGATTAGGCTGCTGTGGGAGTTTTTGGCATCAGGTGTAAAGAATCAGCCGTGAGTTTTCTTCATAGTGCCTTTGAAGGCCGGCGTAACACGACCTGTTACACGGGTCACTCACATCCCTTTTTTCTTTGTTTCTTTTTTTAAAAGTGACACCGATGGATCCGAGGCAGTCGGTAACTCCGTCTCTGGTTACAGGAGCTGACGGCACACTTACCTGGCCAGTCGAGTGGTCCGGGGGGGG